GCCCCTGCAAGCCCCGCCCCCGCGCCCTCTCCAGCCACCCCATTGGCTGCCGCCGCCGCCATCTTCGGCCATGGAGGCGGATGAGGAAGCGACGCACGGGAAGGGGATTGGTGCAAAGRGCGGAGGGGGCGGGGCCGAGCGGCRATCGGCGCGGTKTGATTGGCTGSCGCAGGGAAGCCCCGCCCCGGGSCYGCAGGACATGGCGGCCGCTCACCGGGGCACAGGGAACAGGGASAGCCGGGCACAAGGACATGAGGAACGGGCTCCGGGGGCAGGAGACACACTGCGCTGGGCAGGAGTGGCACACGGAGCTGCATCCCCCARGCAAGCCGAAACGCAGGATTAGTTCCTGAGAGGGACCCAAACAAGAAGATGGAGAATAAGATTAATTAGGTTTCCTTCAGTTTGATGTCAGATTTACCCATATTAATTTTGTTTTTTTTGCCAATTTAACTTCCATACTGTATTTTTATCCTATTCTTACTTATCATTTAGTAGACTAACACATCCAGACTAGTAGAAGGAAGAKAGCATAACTAACAWTTGATTCTTTTTATGWTTTATTTAATATTGCCCCAGGTTTKGTCATTCAAAATTCCKTGTTCTACTCTGAATTTACTGTTCAGCACTAAATATTATTACATTAATCCATAACCTAGGATGGATACTATTCAGTGACCAAAATAATTTGTACCTGTATTTTTGTTCTAGTTAAAATTACATTTATAGTATTTTCTGATAAATGTTGAACACTATTACAAATATCACTAATCAATTATTTCAAGAAATATTTTTAAACATGAAAATATTTTCATTATCTTAGTTTGTACTTTTGTGTAGTGTGTTAGAACCAGACACTTGTATTCCTGAGGAGTCACAGATGCACAGCTCACCAAAGTCCCACCGCCATTAAAAAGTGCCCCTTTTTTGTTTATTTTTGCTCCTTCACAGTTAYTTGGTTGACATTTTTGTCTGCACAGTGCGATGAACATAGAAAAATATCTAAGCACATGACATCAAAGCACAAAGACCCAAATTTCACACTTTTCATAGTAAATACCTTCCCATCATTGTGAAGCCTGTCACCCAGAACTAATGTCTGCTCACATTGGTGGGAGAAGTTCTGAAGATGTCCAARCAGGAGGCAGATGATTTCACTGAGAACACAATATGCATTACAACACAGTATTGCAAACATCACTATTTCAATAATATTTTCAGTTGGTAGCTTTGTTTCCCAGGGCAGTTGCCACAAATTCATCAAATACCTTCTGTTCATTGTTCCTGGTAAAAACAGCTGCAAGATCAACTGGAATGCCACAGTTCTACGGCCACGGATTTGGTGCCCAGTACTCCCAGATGAGTCCAGAAATTACCATTTTTTGATAGCACASCAATGCTGCTGAGTCAGWGTGTCAGGAGTRGAAATGCAGCTGTCAAGTTCGCCACAGGAATTGCATGGCAGGTGCTCCAGAGATCCCTGTAACCCTTAACTTATTTATTATTTACTTTACAGACATAAAAGATACTTTGAGARAGTTCCCATCATAAAAGAAATTAAACAAATCTGAGTTTCATGTACTCTAGGAAAGAAGAACTCAAACAGCAAGTTGTCTAGAATGAGAAAATCTTTATTTGCCGTGTGTTAGCATCTACCTAATATGCCAAGGTTATTTTTGTGGCAGTTTATTTTGGCTACCTTTACCAAYTTTTCCAGTGCAACCATTTGTAATTAGCTTGTATGTGCATGTAGACAAAGTGTTACATACCAGGGATCAACGAACATAACTCCATCAGCAGATTCCTGCAGCTGAAGTAGCAGAAGTTAATGTGATTTGCTGGTGAAGGGTTAATTTTTAACATYTTCGAAAAGTACAGCTCATTGGTTTCATTTTTCAACTCTCCTCTGTTAGTTTGGGACAAGGGGAGTGGGGAGCTGGCAAACCTCCCCATTTTTTGATGGTTCTATCTGCTCATGTACAAATGAGCCAAATTCATTATAACTGATGGTAATCAAGTTTTGGGATTTACTGAAGGTACTTCAATGCTTAATTGCTACTTAGGGCTGAATAAGTATTTAATAAACCAAAATCAAAGGCTGATTAAATTATATACTCTAATTATATAATACAATAAAAAGAAGTTTTGATTGCAAAGTCAAGTTGTTGGGTAAGGACACCATTTTTAGMGGTCAGCTCAGAGTTAGCAGTGCCTGRTTTCACATAACAWACRCTAAMTTCYTTCATCSTGCAGTAAYAGAGCTGTGTCTGTCATATCTTTGCTGCAGCAATTCCTAATTTTAATAATGCTGCTGTTGGTAACAGTGCTCACAATTTCTTATATCTGCACAGGGTGCCAGGTTAGGATTTTATATTGGATTCTGTTGAAAGCACAAAACTGGGCCATGCACACTAGGCTCCACCTCAGCCTCCCCAGCTGTTTCCTGTAGCTATCCCTAGGAGGCTGAGTGGATATTCTAGGCATATTCAGGTAGGAAAACAGACTGCAGACAAGTATTTCTGTTTTCCCAGTCATCCTCACTACCTGAACACCCYTGCTAGGGATGTACATATTGAATTTGATTTTTTTTATCGGCAGTTTTGTTAGTGGCAAGAATTCCTGATTCCTCCCTGAAGTGGAAAGATCAAGCTGGGTTCCTTCCTCCKGTGGGGTAGCAGAGGTGCCAAAGTGCACAGTTCACCTAACACATTCTCTGTTCTTTTTTGTACTTKTACAGAGGCAAAACAGTAGAGCCAAGCTTGAGCCATTATCCTTGTGCCTGGCTTTTCCCAAGAACCTCAGTCAACCCACCCACGTGTGAGATTCCTGAACACAAAAGGCATGCATTATAAAGCAGCTCAGATCTGCCGCTTACTGACTTTTGGGAGGGGCAATTTCTTGAGAAGATAGGTTTGTCAGATTCCACAGGAGGTACAGGTTTTTGTTGGGAGAGTACCATCTTTATTTTTGCTTCCACATCAGATCTCCTAACCCCAACTGCAACAGGCTGACACYGAGATCACTTATAGAAGACTGACCCCCTAAAGCCCAAATTTAGCACTGGGCCATTCTATCAGATATGTATTTCAGAACTCTTGATCATAGATACAGATCTTGCATAACTACTGAAGTGTCTTGTAATTCTGAAATAGGCATTTATTTGTATTGACGAGAAAACAAACTTGGCAACRAGAGGTTTATAAAAGGTGCCAGAACAGGCCACTAGGTGAAAAATCCAAACCTGACCCTAAGCATTTATTATTTTTCTTTCAACTATACATTAGTGAGGTTAGTCAGCCTGARGTCTAGACACAATACTGACACATGGCCAGKAAAGAACTGAACTGCTGCTGCAAGGCAAGCACAGTGCAGTGCTAATTGCCATTGCTATGAAATCAGTCTGAATGTCAGACCTGCTGACTCTCTGCTTTTATCACTGTCTTAAAGAGATCAGCAACTTTTACACCTTCAAACCTTATTAAAAATGATCAGAGAAAGCATTATGTCCCATWAACATCAGCTCAGAGAACATATTCTCATTCTTAAAACTGGAAGTGTCAATTTGAGTAAAAGCTTTATTTAATTTACAGTTTCAGCATCTGGAGCTGATGTACTGCAGTCCACAACAATGATCACTAAGCGATTGGGAGCCAGTGCAGCATGAATARTGCTGCAAACAGTAAATCACCAAAACCACATTACTGAAGTACCTGCTGCATACAGTAGAGCATAGGAARCAGCCTCCCTGAATTTCCAATTTGAAAATCTTTGCAAGTTAGTAGAAATCTGGGTCATCATGTTCTGAAAATTATTCTGTATGAGGCAAACATGATTTCATCCTTTGCCTAACAGCATGAGGTAAGCAATTGCAAAGGAATTCTTCATTACAGGCATTATTTTGGCAATCTTCCCAAGGCAGTTGTGGATTTGATTAGCCACCAGGACTGAACTCTACAGCAGGAATTACCACCCACATATGGCTACTGGCATACCAGGAGAGATGATCAAATATGATGGATTAAATAATTCAAGGGAATTTTTAACTGACACAGAAGCAGAATGTACTTTCTGCYTAAATTTGCCAAGCTGCTACATCAAATGTAGCCTTA